GTCCCGAAAGTAGTAGATGTATTAATACGGATCGTATTAAACATCCTTCATAACAGAGCAACAATTAAAATTAGTTAATTGTAAGGTTAGTTTTCTTAGCAAGTAATTTTTGGGTTTTGTTGCAATAAAAATTTTTGTGATAGCAGTTTCAGTCTATTTTGGTGCTGAGTTTCGTTAAATTTCAAGTGTGGTGTCTTTCCTGCAAGTTTTACTTTGACCAACTTGAATTAAGAGCCGTATGCTGTAATGGAAGTTGAGCATTTTAATTGCTAGAAGTCAAATATTTTGAGAAATGATTGTCCTCACTGTGATTGGCATTTGTCTAAGTTGATGGATTGAATACTTGTTTCTATTTGTTACTTTAATCTGATGTATCATGTAATCGACACCTTGAAGAAGGTGAGAATTGTAGGAATGCTTTGGGGTGCATACTGCATAGAGTGCTTAGAAATTATTTTAGTTGTCCGCTTACAACCTTTTGGCCTATTTGAATCAGGGTGACCAAGGAGAACAGGGCTGCTGGAATTTTGGAGAACTTTGATGAGGGAGAAAAGTATTCTCAGCACTTCGTGAGAAAATACGTGCGCGGGAGGGCCCCCGAAATTATGCCATCAATCAACAGCTTCTTCACTGACCCTAAGTGAAGCAATTTAGTGATGTTCAGAACTAATGTTCTCATTTCTTTCATTGTTGATTGTCATAGAAGTTTGTGTCAACTTGGCATTTATTAGGCCTGGTCAAATGGAAATAAGATCTGGATGAGAACATTGATTTGAGTTTATGTGGGGTGGACTAAGCATTCTTGTGTCTGGAAACAACATAAAGTTAATTGATATTGTTCTCTATACATTTTTGGTGTTATTTCTTAATTTCTATTGCATTTTGTCCATATATCTAGCCATCACTTCTGAGTTGAGATATGAATTTTGGTAATAAATTCTGATACTTTGCAAATGATGGTGTTATTACCTTTGTAACAATTCACATTTTCACCATTGATCTGCAGGTTAAAAATATGATTTCAAGAATGGAAAACAGGTTCATCAAAGTTGGTTGAAATCGTGGTATGAAAATCTTAATGAGATTGGATCATGCCCTTAAGTGTGTTATATATCGTTCAAAGTGTTGGCAACCTTGCATGTTTGAACTTTGAATGTTTTAACTTTTAACACGAAAACAAGCACCTTTTAACAAAATTAATAGCTCACCAAATGGATTGCCTATCAGCAGAAAAGCGATCGGAACTCACCATGAGCATTGAGCACATGAACAGAAGAAGCCATACATTACTAACCTGAAAAACATCACTGTGTCTTTAACTGTTGAAATGTTTAATTCTGTGAGAGGTAGGTTTGTTGATACCTCCCGGGGTTGAGAATCCCAAAACAGGTGAGATGTGAATAGATGGAAACTGAACAAAAAATAAGAGAAAACTAAAACAGTTCAATCCCAAAGCAGATAGAACGTGAATACATGGAAAGTGAACAAAAGAAGAAAAAAAAGTTCAAGAGAAAACTAAAACAGTTTTCGGGCCTAATATAGCATCAATTTAACGCCTAGCATTCAGCTACAAAAGAATAAGAATTATACCAGGGTTCCAGCCACATCTTTCAGTTGTAATGTCACAGTACAACACCAATGGTTGAGAAATATACGTGCCTTACTGCTACATACTTGTAACTATAAATTACTGCAACATACTCAGGCTGGAATTTCCTGCTGTAATATCTGTCTATCCTTCCTAAAAAGACAAACAAATACATATAAAAATAACACACCAATGGTTTCCGCAGCACAGAACGCCAATATATGCTTGTCACTATAACTAGACATATCTCAAGTGTTGAAAACGAAACAAGTGACTGCTGCTTCAGAGGATTTTTAACTTCTACGAGTGAGACCCAAAAAATCATGGAGGAAAGCGCTCAACATCCATGGGAGGAAAACTTGATTGTGCCGTTCTCATTCCCCGAAGCATACTCTTAGCAGTTTCTTTCTCCTGCAATCAAGCACAAATGAATATGTAAAACAGTTTTTGAGTTTTGACATTTTCATGTATACATAATTTCTATAAAATTGATCATTAACTCTTTATAAACTATAAAAGAAGAATATTAACACAACTCACCGGGCCAGTAAAATCCAGAAGACGGGTACAATACACCTCTGCTTCTTCAAATCTGTTATGGGCTCCGCAGTGAGTCGCAAGAAATAACAAAGCTTCAACAATATTTGGTCCTTCCCTCTCTTCAGCTTCCATCCTATCCAAATCCTTCTTGTAGTAGAATGCTGCTTCCTCATCACGCCCAAGTTCATGATGCAGCTTTGCAAGCTGGTTCAGGGCAATTGCTTCACTGTCATTACAATTTGCAGCTCTTCTATAGCATTTTATTGCCTCTTCAAGCATGTGAAGCTGTTCAGTTTCATAACACTGAGCCATGGCAATCCACAACCGAGAATCGCTTGGCTGCAAGAATACAGATTTTCGAAAATAATGAAGAGCATAGAAAGGCATATGCATCATCTCATAAGCTTGTCCTAACCCATACCAGGCTCGATAATCACATGGATTTATATCTACAGCTCGTCTATAGGCATCAACAGCAGCTGGAGTGTTTTTCATCTCAACATATTCATGGCCCATTAGTGTCCAAGCTGACAAAAAGTTTTTGTTCAATTTAAGTGCCCTCCTAAAATACACAACTGATTTCTCATGCTGCCCCTTTAAACTGTAGTAATTCCCAATTATGCAACAAGATTCAGGTCTGTATTTATCAGTCATAAATACTCTGTGGGCAAGATAACTTAAAGCAGAGAAGCACTCCTTTGCATATAGCACATTAGAGTACATATCCATGTCTTCCACTCTATAGGGGTCATTCCTTAAAAGCTCTTCAAATATCACTTCAACTTGTTCAAATTCTCTCAAACTGTACTGTGCTTTTGCAATTTGAGCCTGTATGTAATTGCTGAAACTGAAAGTGCCCTGTAGATATTCATATTTAGTTAAGGATTCGTTGTGCATCCTAAGTTCTTGATAAGCACTGGCAAGGAAAAAGTCCTTCATCCAATGGTTATTTAGATTAAGGCTGTTCAAGATGTCAACTGTAGTGCACAATGACTGCAGCTCCAACCAGGCACTCCAGTTCCAAGGGTAGCTATTAACAGACTCCACTAAAACTGTACGAGCAAGATAGTCACTGCCTTTATCTTTTAGCACCATACCATATAAATACAAACCAAAGGGATCAAACATTCCATTCTTGCGAAATGTAGATAACTCTCTCTCAAGGGAAACAAGTTCACGATTCACAGCATCACTCTTGCCCAATGGCCCTTCAAGTTCTATTGTTTCTTCCTCCTTCCGCTTTTCTCCAGCCTTAGGAACCCAAAAAAAAGAGAGGTGAAAAAATGTAAATATTGAACTCCTCAAACATAGCATAGCTTTATCTGATCATATTAAAATTAAATAATTGCACCACCAAATGCACAGGTATCGCTGAGAGTGACAACATCATGCATTATATATGTAAGCATGTGAACAACAATACAACACCATCAGAAATAAATACTACTGTGTAATTGCAATTTCTGATGCATTTAAGAAGGTAGCCAGTAATTTTATAAACCAATTCTTAGACATACTGAAAGTTCTCCTACATTGATGTTTATCTATCCCTTTGCACTATATCCTCTCAAAATGAAGACTTCAAAAGTAAAAGTAACCAAGTAATTTGAGGATTCACAAGAATGAGTATTTTCTGATCAAACAGGGCAGAAAACATGAGAAATGGGGCAACAGCAGCGACTGGTTATCTATATATCGACAAATACATACATATGAATGAATGAATATACATTCCCTGAAATGATGCGATGCAACAACATAATATATAGAGGGGAAAGTAATGGCAACCAATAGAAAACTAGTTTCAATCCTGAATAAGCAACCATGTTAAAGTGACTGACGAAATGGCAAAATATGAGCAAGATAGTCAGTTAAATTTTTTCTTTTCCCACTAAACTCTCAAGAAAACTTACACATACTACACAATTTGTCACCAAAACCATGGATAAGAAAAAAAAGTCAGAATGAAACAAACCAGATAAAGAGCATAACAGCGCAGAAACACCGATTTCTTTCCATTTTGATCACGAAGCACGTGAGCAGCCCTCCTGTACTCTCTACAATCAAAGTATGACTTTGCCAAAAGATAAAAATCACCATCCACCACTTCATCTTCCTCCATTACCGGAGTGGAGACGTAAGAAACACCGGCAGCCGGCGTTGAAGTAATCTCATTTGTGCGGAACCTTCGGCGAATGCTTGAGCTTCCACGTTGGAATCTGGTGTTCGAGGGTGTATACTTGGCCGGATCTTGTTCGATTCCAACTAATTGTTCTGCTGCCCTGCATATCAAAACCCATTAATTAAAAAATTAATCAATTAGCATCTTGAAACTAACATTTCGTTGCTTCTAGAAACAAAAACCAAGGATTATAAATGATAGCAATTAGTAATTGGGGTTTAGGGTTTTAGTACCATTTGGAGGCGGAGTAAAGGCATCGGTCACTGAGTTGACGAATGGCAGTGCGGAGCTCGTTTCTGCAAGTGTCTTTAGAACTCATGGATCTGTTTAATGAAGTAATGCCGGGCACATCGAGCGGGTGTGATGTGAGTGATGGGTGGTGCTTGTTTCTGTCCGCGCCCTGCTTTTTGAAATGAAATAGTTGAAATTGAATCGATGCTTCGGTCGACTTGTGTTTCAGTGATAATATAAGAGGCCGAACGATTACACATACCCAAGGTTTGTCGAAATGACAAGTTGACACCCAAAAGGTTTTGAAACAACAAATAGTTACCTTTTGTCATGTTCTTTTTTGTTTGATAATAATGAAAAGACTAGAATACCCTTGAAAGTTTGATATTTTAGTTTTTTATAAATTTAAAAATTTCTAAAAAACCCCCTAAGTTTACTAATTTGACTAAATACCCTAATATATAAAAATTTTGAAAAATAACAAAAATACCCCCATTACCGCAGTGCTAGATTCTGGGCACCACCATCGGAATCTGATCGGAATATTGCGTTACGACACAGACTCGTCGGATCTGTGTCGTAAAGCATCGATCTGGCCTCTTCCGGCCTCGACGGCTAGATCTGACACTAGATCTGGCCTTTTCCGGCCTCGACGGCTAGATCTGACACTAGATCTGGCCTTTTCCGGCCAGATCCTCCACGGATCTAGTCGAAAAATGCCAAATCGACACGTTACGACATAGATCCAACGGGTCTGTGTCGTAACGCAATTTTTCGGCCAGATTCCGACCTCGACAGCCAGATCTGGCTATAGATCTGGCTTTTTTCGGCCAGATAAGCCACACATCTTGTCGGAAAATGCCAGATCTATGCGTTACGATATAGATCCGATAGGTCTGTGTCGTAACCCAATATTCCGGCCAGATTCTGACGGTGGTGGCTAGAATCTGACACTGCGGGTGGCAGGGTTGTTTTTGTTATTTTACAAAAATTTTATATATTGGGGTATTTAGTCAAATTAGCAAACCTATGGGGTTTTTTAGAAATTTTTAAATTTATAAAAAACTAAAATATCAAACTTTCAAGGACATTCTAGTCTTTTCACTATTATTAAATGAAAATCACTAATAGAACATGACGGAAGGTACCTATTTATCATTTCAAAACCTTTTGGATACCAACTTGTCGTTTCGGCAAACCTTGAGTATGCGTAAGTCGTTCGGCCTAATATTGGAATATTGTGTTTCTAGAATAACATTATGAATTAAACTGTGACTATATATATATGATTATTTCATGTCATTAAAATCATCAACTATGTTAGTAATTTTTCATCTCATCTCATGCCATGTATCATAGGTTAGATCTTAAATTTTCATTTTAAATGTTACATTGAATGATATGTTAATTAATATATATATATATTCCCGATGCATAGACTATATGATTGCCATTTTGAGGGGCTAGAATTCCTTCATTTTGACATGTCCGTAGATTGCCCGACACATGGCTGAATTTGATTAGTGATAATGTGACATAAATTAATAAGTTGTATTTTATAGTATATGTGGCTTCATGTAATTGGTGTTTGATATTGTTTATTTTTAATAACCTTATTGATGGTTGTTTGTTTCACATTAACAATAAATATTGTCATCTACATTTACATAAGCTTATACACAAATCGTTATTGATTGTTGTTTGTTTATAAATTTTTGTGAATGTAAGGGGTTTTATACGCTGTATGTTATTCACAATGCATTTATGTGAATTTAGGGGGTTTGTGAATATGAATGGTTTTATAAGTTTTTATTTTGTACATTGTATGTGTTATGTGTTGCTCTTTAATATAAACGGTTACAGATATTTATGAGAATGTGAAGAGTTGTATACATTAATTGGATGTATATATATATATATACATCCAATTAAAATATACAACTCTTCACATTCTCATCCAATTAATTGGATGTATATATATATATATATGAATGGAACTATACCATATGACAATTTAACTTATGGACAATTACATAGTTTTGTCCAGAAAGTTGGAATGAAAATTTGCAAAGATGAAAAACTCGCCCACCAAAGGCAAAAGGAGAGAAAACAGTTAGGAAATTTTTGTCAACAATTTGACACTAATCACAGAAATTCTTTTAAAGGAAAGAAAACCAAGAAAACAATAACCTACAAAGGTCAATGTGATAAAACCATGAATGATCGTAATAAAACCATGAATAATCATAAGAACCATACATACAAACCCACATTTAGGAAAAAACCTTTTCAACAAAACAAATTTTCTAAAACAGACAAACCCACAAAACAATTCACGTGCTTTAGATGTGGTAAACAGGGTCATATCGCTAGATACTGTAAAATTAGTAAAGGAATTAGAGAATTAAGCCTTGATAATGAGCTCATACATAAAATTGAAATGATAAGGATTAATCTCTGATTCGGATTCAAGTGAAAAAGAAATGTCGGATGACAACCAAATTGATGAAATTGAAACCTCTAGTGAAAATGAAATAAATGTCTTAACCAAAGACCAAGAATTCCTCTAGAAGCCGTTAATAAAATTGATGATCCTCTTTTGGAAAAGAGTATCTAGAGAGACTAAAAAATACCTTCGAAAAAACTGATAGGAAAATAGAAACATAAGGCTTACAGCTTTCAAATATTATTGACAAATTCGAAAAACAAGAAAAACGGAAATTAACACATCGAAGATTTAACAAAGAAATAAACAACTAAAAATGAAGTTAAAGATTTAAAGGACAACAAAAACAACATTTGAAATTACTTGTTGCCAAGAAAAAGATAAATCTGAAGATGATGAAGATCATATGAAGATTTCATAAATATGCTAACCCAAATAACTTATCAAAAATGGCATATTAAGAATAAAACTCTTAATCAATGATGATTTATCCTAGAAACAATTGCTCTATTTGATACTTGAGCAGACTTCAATTGTATCCAAGAAGGTTTAGTTCCTACAAAATACTATGAAAAAACACTAGATCTGCTAAATCAGCCAATGGCTCAACACTTTTTTCAATTACAAATATCAGATGTTAAAGTTTGTAATCAAAATATTTGTTTAATTCTTATTAGTAAAAATTTGAAAAGAAGTATGTACTAGGAACACCCTCATTAGTTTAATACAACATTATTGTTAATGATTCGGGATATCTACACAAATAATGGGGGAAGATCTTATCTTAACTTATACACAAACCCATCCAAAGAAACCTTATATCCTCCAAAAATACTCAACGTCAAAGAACGAAATTAATCACCTTATCTACATAAACAAAAACATATATACTTCTTCCAAGAAGAAGTTAAAACTAAAGAATCGAATCCAAATTCAACATAATGATATCCGTACAAAGATAAAACAAATACAAAAAACTATTGAAACTCAAATTTGCTCTGACCTACCTAATGCCTTTTGGGATAGAAAAAAACATATGGTCAGTCTGCCTTATGAAAAGATTTTGATGAAAAAGAAATACCTACAAAAGCCAGACCAATACAAATGCAAAAAGATTAGAGAACATTGTAAAAAGAAAATCGATGATTTCTACAGAAAAAATTAATTGGAAAGCAAGTCTCCTTGGAGTTGCTCAGCCTTCTATGTCAGAAAAATGCTGAACTTGAAAGAGGAGTTCCAAGACTTGTCATAAATATAAACCTCTTAATACAACCTTAGATGGATAAGATATCCAATCCCAAACAAAAAAGATTTATTACAAAACTATCCAATTCAAGAACTTTTCCAAATTCGACATGGAATTGGGTTTTGGCAAATCCAAATTAAGCCAGAAGATAGGTATAAAACCGCATTTACTGTACCATTTGGTCAATATGAATGGAATGTAAGCCCTTGGGTTAAAAAATGCCATCCACAATTCCAAAGAATAATGAATGAAATTTTCAATCCATACTCCCAATTCCTTATTGTCTATATCGATGATGTTTATATTTTCACCAGTATAAATCAACACTTAAACATTTAAAGACATTTATTCATATTGTCAAAACCAATGGTTTAGTTGTTTCAAAAACAAAAATAAACCTTTTCAAACAAGGATCCGATTTTTAGGACAAATAATCACAATGGTACAATTATACCTATTCAAAGATCCATTGAATTCGGGAAAAAATTCCCTGATGTCATCACTGATAAAACTCAATTACAAAGATTCTTAGGAAGTCTTAATTATGTAATGAACTTTATCCTAAACTTAGTCAAATTGCAAACTTTTATTGAAAGGTTGAAGAAGAATCCAGCACCGGGGCAAACCAACACACTAATACAATCCGACAGATTAAAGCCCAAATCACCCATTTACCATGTTTGCATTAGCAGACCCATTAGCCTTCAAAATAGTTGAAACCGATGCCTCAGATTTAGGGTATGGAGGTATTCTCAAACAAGTACATGATAACAAAGAACAAGTTGTCCAATTTACTTCCAAATTTTGAATGAACTCAACAAAATACTCCCACTATAAAAAAAGAGATTTTATCCATTGTCCTATGCATTTCAATTTCAAAGTGATTTACTAAATCAAAAATTTTTACTTCGTATTGATTGTCAAATGCTAAACATGTTACAAAAGGATGTTCAAAATATTGCATCAAAACAAATTTTTGCACGTGGCAAGCAATTTTATGTGTGTTTGATTTTGACATTGATACATCACAAGGAGAAGCTAATTCCCTGCCGACTTCTCCAAGGAATTCTTCAGGGAGATAACCATCATGCTCCAAAAAGACCAACCCTCTAATCATTCAAAACAATCCAAGGCTTCTATGCCCAAAAGCACCAAACACCAAATATGGTAGAACTCGTATGTGAAGAAGAAGCCCAAGAAAAGGCCCAACAATCAAAAGGAAAAGGCAAGCCTCAACAAGCTCTTCTCATAGCCCAACAATAAAAGAACAAATCCAGAATTGGATCTGCTCTTTTCAGCAAAGTCCAGAAGCAGCCCTTGCTATGATTGGGTTAACACCAAATTTACCAAAAATGAGATTTTGAAATTTAAAGAACTTCAAACTCTTCCAAAAAATTCCCAAGAATTTTCCCAATGTGAAAAAATTTCACTAAGACATTGCAAAAGGCAGCTCAAATTGCTCTTTCAAAACAAAGAACTTGTTCCTGCGGCTACACCTTTAAAAGCCCTTAAACTAGGACAAAAA